CCCACCTCGTTTGTCAAGGTGTCCGTCTAGGTGTTCATTCCTAGCGGCCCGTTTGTCCCCAGTTGTCCGTATAGAGTATGTACCAACGGCCTGTGGCCCGTTTAACACGATTGCTCGTCTGGAAGTCCATACCCAGCGGCTCGTGGTTCTTTAGGTGTTGGCGCAAAAAAAAAAAGAAAGTCAAGGGAATGGGACTTGATTTGCAAGTGGTCAACCAGTTAGATTCAAAATGGCCCGGTTGTCCACTTGAGGGGGAGTGTTAAAGAGCATCCCACATCGGAAAAGTGTGAGAAAATTAATCGGTATATAAGCTCTTGAGTTAAACTAACTAATCGATTGGATTCAATCTTTTAACACAGTTCAACCCAAGTGTCTTATTGCCCAATCCAGTTGTCCATACTCATCCTAAATTCTATCACCTTATGCGATGTGGAAGCGGAGCGGGGAAGAAGGAGGAGAAGACGGGGACGGGATGAATTTTGCGTACGGAGGGACGGGGGTGTTCGAGACCGGGGTGGAGGGGCCGAAGATGGGGGCGCAGATAAAGAGCCTGGGGCAACTCGTGCGCCGGAATGTGTACACCAGACAGGACCTCTCCTCCTCCCTGGCTCTCGTCACCTCCGCTGGGAATGACTACCTTACCTTCCTGCTTGACCACGGCAATTTAAACGTAAGATGAGTTCAATAGCCACAATGCATACTGTTTCAATTGGGATGGTTATGGACTTTACCCCCAATTATATGGAGTCAAATCATTACATGGGGAGATGGAAAGGGAGGGTAAAATGGTCCAAATGGTGTTAAAATTGGAACTTTTTAATTCTTTTTGGGACATGTTAAAGAGCATCCCACATCCGAAAAGTGTGAGGAAATTAATCGGTATATAAGCTCTTGAGTTGAACTAACTAATTGATTGGATTCAATCTTTTAATGTAGTTCAATCCAAGTGTCTTATTACCCAATCCAGTTATCCATACTTCATCCTAAATTCTATCAGGACAAGAATGAGAGGGAATAGTGTAATCAAATTACGGACAGCGGGAGTAGTTGTTCATATCCGCCAATTTTTTAGGGCGTGATGGACGGATCGAACCCCGAGATAGAAAAAAAAAGATTACCCTCCAAGAACTTATCCATCCAAGAAACCATAAAATATTCACTCCGTCCAAAAGTTTGATTCTGATTTCACTTTTCATTGCCTTCCCTGTAATTTTTTTTACCATTAATATCGCTATTTTTGTAAAAATATACTCCGTATATAATAAAAAGTACAATATTTCAAAAATATATTATAAAATAAATCTATTAATATTAAATCTATATGATAAACCAATGTATTTTTCCATATAAAATTTGTGGTTTGAAAGTTTAAAAAATTTCACCAAACTGACCCGTGATCTTAAATTTGTGGCCGGCGGGCAATGGAGACAGGATGTGGAGGGTTTTGCAGAGAATCTAACGAGGCAACTCAGTGAAAACCTGAAACGCATTCATGAGATGGGAATCCCAAAAGTAGCAGTGACCGCTATGGAACCTCTGGGTTGCCTACCTGGCCCTGCTGCTGCTGCTTCTTCTTCTTCTTCCTCAAATTATAATACCCATCATGAGAACTACCCAAACTGCAACAAAATTGGCAACCGCATCACCAGGTTTCACAATCAACTCCTCAGACAAAGGGTGGACCAACTCAACCGCCACTACAGCCGCCGCAGCAGCCGCCGCCCTTTCGTCATTCTTGATCTCTATTCCGCCTTCACCTCTGCCTTGAACATCCGGGACGGCCGCCCCGGTAAGCCGCCATACAACTTAAAATTGAGCAGATCGAGGGGCAGATATACATTGCCCCCGTGTGTAGCATATATGGTTTCTCTGAGGGAAAAATGTTAATTAAGTCGGATAGATTTCCTATGAGCGTTTTATCCATGGTTCCTTGTGCGCACTAGGTACCGGAGGATCATCCTAAAGACCAGATCAAGATTATACTTCCTCGTCCACAAATAAACTTTCCGTTCAATATCCACAGGGTCAAACTTTATTCACTTTTTTGGCTTATTTTTGTCACCCATTTCATAAAATAATATAGTCATGTCACTTCTAGTTTTATACATCTTTTGATATAGTTTTTTAATATGTAACATTTATTTTTAAATATTACACCATTTTTCATATAAAATGATTTGAAAATAACTTCAGTCAAACATCGTAACGCGCAACGGGAAGTTTATTTGTGGACGGAGTGAGTATCATGGTTTACTTCCTCAATGCTTTGTAGAGTCAGGGGTGTGGGGTGCCCTAGGGGGTGAAACCCCAAACTCTCCCACTCCATTTGGACCCCAACTTATTTCTCCCATCTACGTCAATTGCACATCGTAAGTTTAGTTGACTTTGAAGTAAAAAATAATTTTAACCTCAAAATCAACTAAATTTGCGGGTATAATTAATGTGGGTACGAGATGGGTTGGGGTCGGGACTCTGTGGGTGACATATATATATTAATACATACTCCCTCCGTTCTCAAAAACACTTCCTCTTTCATTTTTTCCACTTCCAACAAAACACTTCCCTTTTCTATTAAAAAACCACTTTTACCCTTACTTTTTCATAACATACCTATCACATCATACTTTTTCTCTAATAATATATTCATCACATCTTACTTTTATCCATCACATCAGGGGCAAAATTGGAAATCAAGAGGTATAACTTAACACTTCCTTATTTTTGTCTCAAATCCAAATGGGAAGTGTTTTTGAGAACGGAGGGAGTACAAGACACTTATATATGTGAATTGTGATATATGCAAAAGGCTTATAATTAAATGCAGGGAAGAGTGGCTTCGAGAAGGGATTGATGCCATGTTGCAGAGGGATGTGTGGGGCGGTTGACGAGAGGGGGAACAAGGAATACACAGTGTGTGATGATCGGAGAAAGGCATTCTTCTGGGACGCCGTGCATCCGTCACAGCAAGGCTGGCTTGCCGTTTATTCCGCCCTGAAACCCTCTCTCCCCGCCCTCCTCTTCTCTCCCCCTCTCCCCACTACTACCACTCGCCGCCGCCACCGCCACCACCTCATGCCTTCCACTATTTAATTTAGTCATGACGACGACGACCTTACTTAGCTTGATTAAACATGCAAAAATAAACTGAGGGGATGGTTACATTATGAACCTCAAGTTGGATGTTCCTATATATATACGTTCATTTTAATCTATTATTGGGAGATAATAATTGTGGGTNATCTTGAAGTAGGAATCAACATAGCCCTTCACCGCCCTCCTCTTCTCTCCCCCTCTCCCCACTACTACCACTCGCCGCCGCCACCGCCACCACCTCATGCCTTCCACTATTTAATTTAGTCATGACGACGACGACCTTACTTAGCTTGATTAAACATGCAAAAATAAACTGAGGGGATGGTTACATTATGAACCTCAAGTTGGATGTTCCTATATATATACGTTCATTTTAATCTATTATTGGGAGATAATAATTGTGGGTTAAATTCTGTTCAAATCAGATTGAAAACCCCCAAATACAAATAAATAAAGTGACCCTTTCATGTGTGATATAAAAAAAAATCTCCTTATTATGTTATTATTTGTATATATAATCACGAGGTTTAATTTTTTTTATTTAAAATGCTACGAGTATATTATAGAGTATTAGGAATACTAGATATACTCCGTATATGTTAGAAATAGAATATTACTCGTATTATATACTCCATCCGTCTCATAAAGTTATTTCCTTTTCAAAAAAATTACGTCCCTTAAAGTCATTTCCATTATTTCTATTAAAAAATTACTTTTTCCTCTTATTTTTTCATACCCTACATATCACATCATACCTTTTTTCTAATAATCTACACATCACATCTTACTTTTATCCATCACATCAAGGGTATTTTTAGAAAGTCAACACAAAATTATCCCACCTTATTTTACCAATTTAGTCAAACCGTCCCTATCTTTATGGGACGGAGGGAGTATTATCTTCCTTATTTTATTAATTCTTTATTGTATTTTTAATATAATTCTTATCCTACTATCATTGGAACTCTCTCTTGTAATCCCTATATAAAGGATATACTCCCTCCGTCCCACTCTCTTTGTCCACTTACCTTTTGGCACCATCCAATGCACTTCTTTAATCCATTTTATCTTGTAATTTGTATATTAAAAAATTATAAAAATTATATATTAATAATCTATATGTTAAGACAAATCAAACAAGATCACACATGACTATTTTTAGGCTTACACATTGAGAGAATTTGATGAGTCAAAGTGCTTAGATGAACAGTTCCAAAAGTCAAAACTGGAACTCTCTCTTGTAATCCCTATATAAAGGATATACTCCGTATCTTTCAAGATTTAATAAGACCAATTATCGATCATCAAATTGTATCATGATATCAAAGTAAGGTTCTAAAAAATCTAATCCTCCTTTTTACGGCCGAGCACATCGTCAGTCTCTATTCACACCCGTTGATTGTCTGACAGTATATATGGTGTCACCGACCGATCTCGACGAGCGTGTCCAAAAGTCGCCGTCTACTATCCATCTCTTTCTCTAAAAAAATCAATTATTTCTCTCTTCCAAAAAATGATGCGTGTGATCGAAGGACAAGAAAGTTGCATTTGTTTGTGTTTTTTAGAGATCGAGAGCATGAAAAGCGATAGAGAAGCAAAGAACGGCCAAAAAGAGAGAAAAATAAACTCCTCACCCTCGTTGCAATCGCCAATGTTTCCACCGGGGAAAAAAGCTCAAAAAACATAATCTCAAGTTTCTTCATCATGTAACAAATTCTTGCTCTCTACTTCTAGATGCTATCCTCACAAAACTACTTTTGCCGACTCAATTCCAGTACCTGTGCTCCAAACTGCTCCTCGTTACCGATGATCAACTTGCGGGGTATATTAGGAAGCATGAAATGCCAATTTTTTATTATTTATATAGAATTTGGGTGTAGGGACGCACCCTAGTACCTGACCGAGGATATTTTGGGGATAGGAAGCGTAATGTGTTTGAAGAATACGTGCAACATAGATGCTAACTCATAAACTAAAAAAATTGATCACCAATTTATAGTGAGCATAGAGCTTCTGTATTTCATATGGAGAACATATTATATTACTCCCTCGGTCCCTAAAAACATGGAAGGTTTTGATTCTTAAGAGATTTAAGGATAATGTATTTTGGTGTTGAATTTTCCAAAACATATTCTTAGATGTGATGGTTAAAAGTAAGATATGATGGATAGATTAATAGTGTATATATGTGATCTGATAGGTAGATCAAGGAAGGAGAAAAAAATTAATATGGGTAAAAGTAACTTTTTAATAAAAATTAAAAAAAATATTTGGGACGGACGCAAAAAGAAAGAAAAAAAGTTTTTAGAGACGAAGAGAGTATTTGTAATTTTGTCTTTTCTTATAAATGTCTTTTTTTGTGCTTAATTTAAAAGCCAACCACACTCCAACCATATTTTAGCGGAAGTGATAAAAAATGTTACACTAATTCATAAAATATACTCACTTCGTTCTCAAAAAGAGTTCCTATTTTGACCAAATGTAAAAATAAGGAAGTATTAAATTGTAGTTGACTTCCAATTTTGCTCTTAATGTGATGACTAAAAGTAAGATGTGATGAATAGATTATTAGAGAAAAAGTATGATGTGATTGGTAAGGTATGACAAAGTAAGGGTAAAAGTAGTTTTTTAATAGAAAGTTGGAGTGTTTTGTTCAATTGTTGGATGTAGAAAAAATGAAAGAGGAAGTGTTTTTGAGAACGTAGGGAGTATAAACTTGTAACTTATGGATTTGAGTTTTTATTTTATTTTTTACTGAATTATGCTGGAATAACATTTTAATAAGGATTTAACCATAAGAGTTTTACACCCACGCACAAGTTCAACCAATATCTAAGTTCACATTTGAAACCCTAAAATAGTTTCTCTGAGCAGAAAATACAGCAACAAATTAAAGAAGAAGATGAGACATGGAGCTGGGTTCAGGCAAGCCGGTCCGGTCCGGTCCGCAAGATTCACCTCATGGAACCGGTCCCGCTCCTACAGATCAAAAACGTAGTGATCAGATCAGATAGGGGCAATAAAAAGAAAGTAATTAAAGATTAAAAGCGCATTTAATTAATCACAGCTCACTTACCATTCATAATGGGATGTATTTGTGTGTTTTACTGCCTCCGTAGTAGGCCAATAATTTCGTGCTCCACCTGAGGCATAAAATATTATTCTCTTTAATTATGATGTTTGACAGAAATTATTTTAAAATAATATTCACTTTATTAGACATTGCTCTGTATTTTATTGTGCGGAGTACTTCTGTTTTAAAATTGGCATTCATAAATTAAACTTTTCATGACTAATAACGCAAAAAATTTAGTATATACGGAGTATTTAAAACTCCGTATATAAGGAGTATATATTTATACATTTAAAAACCTAATTTTAAGAATATTAGATAGAGTCAAGAACTATGAGCCTCCAAAATATCGCGTCCTATAGCTACAAAATTGGGGGTCATCGGGTGCGTGCGGGCGTGCGTACCTTCATTATATTTTCCATTTTGGATTCGAAGGTATTCTTTTCCCTCTTGAGATTTTCCACTAACTCCGTGCAGCTGATAGATATATATAGAACATGTCGTGAATCGTGAGAATTCAAGAATGAAATCAAAACGAGAATGACACGACAAACTATACACTTAATTTATGCATACACTTGGAGCATTATTTGTACGATTTGACTTAATAATTAATAAACGTTTTGAAAATATTAACGTTCAGATTATTGTATAGGAAACGAAAAAAAGTCAATCTATATGGACTAGTTTCACGACATAGTAGGAAGTATTTTGTTAGATAGTCGCAACGCAACTTCGCACAAATTTAGAAATTAATTAGAGTAAATTCCATAAAAGGTCCCCAGTTATAGGTCGTTTTACATATTTAGTCCCTACATATCAAATATTACTAATTTAGTCCTCAATTATTATATCATTTTTCACGAATGGTCCTTTGTTAACGTTTTTGTTAAGAACATGGATAAAATTGTATATTCATACTTCACTCTCCTGAATTAAGCTTCCCCCCTCTCTACTATTTCCAAAACTTGTCGCTGAGTTTGAAGCTCTAAACCCAAAACTGAAATGATCATATCTCTCTCAATTATTAGTCTTTTTCGTGGAATCTAAAATAAAAACCAATAAGCTTTATGGATGAGTTTTATCGGTTAGTCTCAAAAAATTACAAAGAAAATAAACATTAAAACTCATCCATGAGGGTTACTAGTTTCGAAGCTTCAAACTCAGCGATGGGTTTAGGAAAGGAGTGCGAGAGGAGGGAGGAAGCTCAATTGAGAAGAGAAAAAAGTGTGAATTTATAATTTTATCCATGTTCTTAACAGAAATATTAACAAAGGACCATTCGTGGAAATAAATATAATAATTGGGGACTAAATTAGTAATATTTGATATGTATGGACTAAATATGTAAAACAACCTATAACTGAGAACCTTTTATGGAATTTACCCAATTAATTAATACTTCCTACATCCTTGATTAAAAATTAGGGAGGGATTTACGTGGTAAAATGACATTCTCTCAATTTATTTTATTTGAAAATTAGTTTTAGAGTAAAAAAAAATAATACTTTCATGATTAAATTAAATGTTATAAAAATTTCTACAAAAGTCTATGTAAAAAAAATCATTTACAAATAGACAAACAAAAACTAAATACTTCGTACAAAAGATTGAATAAAATAAATTAAAAGATTCCTTACTCTCTCTTGGACTTCTTAAGAATGGCTTGAATTAATTTGCAGCAAGCTGAAGCCATCCGGCAAGCCCCAATGCTGCATATATATGTATGCACAACGCACAATACTATAATTTAATTTTATTTAATTTAATGAGTGTACCAAATTATATTTAAAATTAATTAGAAAAAGAAATGATAGAATACTTAATTATTTACCAGGCAGAACTTCCTTTGAGCTTGATGCAAAGCTCGTGCAATTTTTCATAGTCAAGAATCGGATATTCTCTATAATAAATCAAGTGGTCAATCAAAAAATATAGATATACATATGTGTGCTTGTGTGTGTAACATTTTAAAACTAGGAACAAATACAC